AATGGCCAAGAACCACGTGGAAAACATTAAAAAAAAAAAAAAAAAAGGACCAATGGTAGGAAATCTCCATTAAGGCACTTTAATAGCAGTAGATAGCAACAGGATGGCCTTCTATTACCAGTCAGATGACTGACCTAACCACCACTGGCATTTACTTTGGTAAAGAAAAAGAAAAACCTCCACTTAATTCAACCACTAATAAGCAGCCTTGGTCCCTAAGGCTAGTAAAACTCCAAGCACAGAGCCACCTGCCACACCATAGCAGGGTCAGTCTTCATTCACTCCTTGAACTTTCTGTTTCTCTAAGTATCCACACATATGCAGAAAACAAAATGCCTAACATTTTCTACTTCCCCAAAATGCATTTGTCAGTGATGGTCAGAGCGGCACCTTTCAACCACTTCTCACGCTCTGCCACTGTTACTAACAGCAATGAATCCCAGCCTCTGCAAAATGTTTCCATAACTCAGTTTTTCCCCATGACTATTTTTATGCTATTTTATTTGAAATAAAATAAATGGCATAGGTTGAGGAAAAACTACAGGAGCTTAAATCAACAGAATTATTTTTGGTCAAAAAAACTGAGGGCAAAAGATATCCAAAAGAACAATGACAAAACTTGAGTTTCAGCCAAATAAAAAAAGCAAGTCTTTCTCCCCCACTTTCCTACTCACCTGAAGTTACCTTATAACATCAGCATGCTAATCTTAATGAACACTAACAGAAGGAAAAATCTAGAAAAACAAGTCAATTTTATATTTGTCTCAAAACATGCAAAATTCAAACTGCTGCATGGCCAAATCACTAGTATCTCTTTTCAGTACTGGACCACCTCGCCCAGACAGTTGGGCCTGTCGCCTTGCCTGGACACTTAAGCCAGGAGACATCAGAATCACAGCACAACTGTCCTGCACTGTGGAATCTAAAAAAGTGAACTCATGGAGAGATAAAGCAGCAGAGGGTACCAGAGGCGCAGGAGGGGCCAGGTTCAGAACAGAGTTTCCCTTGGACAGGAAGAACAGTTCTGTGATCTCCCGCACAGCACAGTGACCTCAATTAATAATGTACGTTTCAAAGTTGCTAATGAAGTGAATTTTAAGCCTCACCACAAAAAAAATGATAGTAAGTGATGGATGTTAATTAGGACTTGATTATTCCACAATGTATACATATGTGGAAACATCACAGTGTACCTTACAAACAAACTATTATTTACTGATTGAAAATTTTTGCATTTTTAACAAATTCTAAGGTGATGCTAATGCTACCAGTAAGCAGACCACAATTTGAAAATTTCTAAACTTTCTAGATACTCAAGATCTCTGTTGGGATTTTCTCAAGAGTTACTAAGAACTCTCCAGAAAACTAAGTTAAGAGACTAAGTTAACTATCTTATGCTTGAACTGCTATACTGCTCTTCAAAATGCTTCATCTGAGGTATTCAAGTAATTTCAGAGTAGAGTTGAGTAATTTGCAGTTTAGAATTCCAGACCCCCTTTCTCCTGTTTCACAAAAAACAATACCTAGGTGTGCTTCAGGTGGCTCCACAGGGAGAAAATGCCTATTCAACTCTGGGAGGAAGGGGTGGATCTAACCACCAGGTATAGGGGTGGCTCCACAGCAGTCTTTGGAAAAAAGCCATCTGTTCCAAGTTTCACACCGGGGACTCCACAATGACAAATAAGTAAAATCCTGGTATTTTCACAAATTGAATAGATCTTAGTCTCAGCCTCAAAACTCTTCTAGAACTGTTCTGTGCATGGCTCCCAACACTTTAGGTAAAGAGAGGCTGAAATGACATCTGTGGAGTCTCAAAACACCTATTTTAGCCAGTTTCCCACCTCTTCCTTCTCAAACCTTTTATTATAGTATGCAAATTACTAAGAGTAACAAAATCATTTCAGTATCGGTTTTACTTTTTATCTTACGTCAGCAATGAAATGATCAACGAAGGACAGTGGATGGTAAAACAATAGAGACAAACTGAAAACTCATCTCTGAAAAGATGGGACAAATGACCATACTGATAAGTTAGAACCAGTGTTTTCATTTTACAGCAAAGATTCACTGAAGCCAATACCTCTGCCCTCACGGGGCTTTAATCACTGTCTTGTAGAGAAGCCCAAGGATGACCACGGCAGAGAAGAGCACTAGGGGAAACCCAGGTTACTGTGACACAGGCATAATCTATCTGGCGGCAGAGACAAAGGAATTAAGAGGCTGCCCCAAGAAACCGACATTCATTAAGCTCAGACGCCAAGGACAGAGTGAGCTGAGCAGAGAGGGAGGAGGAAGGCATAAAGGCAGAGGAAAAGAGCACCAGGTGTCCCCACAGAACACAGGGTACATACCAGAAAAGCAGGAAAGGAAGCTGGGAAGGGAGGCAGGACCCACTGTGCAGAGCTCCAGCAAGACTGATGGATCCTACCTGCATTTCAAAAGACCACTTTCCCTAGAGCACAGGGAGCTGAAGGGTGACCAGCAGGAGGGAGGCCACCGTCTGTGGGGGTGGGGGCCACACCCAGTGTTTTCTAGTAGTGGGTCCAGCTTCAGAATACTTTTCATCTCAAGTCACCTCTCCTTCCCAGATCTCTGACACACAGGTTGCTTAATCTATGAGGGTCTTGGTTTCACTGTTTGTGCATGATTAAAATCTTCCCTCTGTAACCCTGAAAGTCACCAATGACCCAAACATCTTATTTGTACATCTTACTTAGACCCTGCTTTTTGTTCTCCAAAACTCTTAGCTCCATTTTAATTCCTGGCTAAAGAGGACTGTGTGCCTCTATGTTAATCTTTGTGATTTTAAAAAATTCTAGCGTCTTATAACAAGCAGTAAAGAAGTCTAAATTCGAACTAATAGAATATGGCAAGGTTATCTGGAAAAAAGCAGCTGCCTTCTCAGCACAGAAGAACTATAACAATGTAACTTTTAAAGATATAATAAAAACAGTCATCTGGAAACACATCTATGAAAAGATGTGAAGAAAATTTTAAAAATATTATGTTCCAGAGCATAATTATGTCAATCCTCCTCAGATGATAGCAATGACATTTCAATAAATACCCAGAGGGTTCTTCATAGAATTAGACAAGGTAATCCTAAAGTGTATTATCTAGAATCACAAAACATACCGTTGAATGATTGTTGCAAAAGGAAATGCTAATATTTTATAGCATTCTATATAATATTCTAAAGTATACAAGACAACAGTATGTAATGTCATGGATTCATACATATATAATAACAGTACAAAATATGCACAGGAATGATAAACATCAAATTCAGAACAGTGGTCAGAGAAACAAAGACAAGGGTTTCAGTTGTGTGTAGTCTGTTATTAAACTGGGTGGTGAATACAAAGGAGTTTATAAATTATTCCCTAGTCTTTAAATACGTTTTGTATGTCTTTTTTAAAAAAAATATTTTTGAACGCCTTTTATTTGAAAACCATGTTATCATATGATTTGGCTCAGTAGTTCCCAAATACCAATCCAATGGCTTTGTCAGCAAGACCCAAAGTAATTGTTAAACAGATTACCAGGCTATCCCAGGGTCAGGATTTCTGGGAGGGGAAACCGATTCTAATGCACATCCACCTTTGGGAACCCTTCATTACCATTAGCTATTAATAGGTATTCCATCAACAAAACTGGCCCCAATCTGACAATGAGATTACTTAAATGCTTCAATATCAAATCTCTTTCGATTGACCCAACTGTCCAGAATATGGATTCTAACTTGAGGGCAAAACTATAATTTAAAAAGAGTCATGTGTCCATAGGAGACTGATTCCAGGACTCTCCTAGACTCCATGATCTGTGGATGCGCAAGTTCCTTATGTAAAATGGTACAGGATTTAAGTATAACTTATACGTAGATCCTCCTCCACACTTTAAATCATCTTTGAATTACCTATAATACGCAAAACAACGTAAATGATATAGAGATAGTTATTCTACTCTACCGTTTAGAGATAATGGGAATAATCTGTACGTGTTCAGTACAGATGTCATATTTTTCTGAGTATTTTCAATCCCCAGCTGGTTCTACATATGAATACAGAATCCACAGACGTGGAAAGTCAGTTGTGTATTCTTTACCTCCAAAAAGGTCATATGTGTAAAAACTAGGAGTATCTTATAATTGTATCAAATTATTTCACAGCATAATTCTTTTACATCCTCCACTAGGAGACGATGATAAGTGCTATTCTTAAAGACAAAGTAGTAAAAGTCACAATGGCTTCGTGATGGCTTGTGGACATATGGCAAGCAATAGAATGTTCTTTCCTGATTTTCTTCCCTTGCAATATTTTTTTTTCATAGCTAAATCTGCCCATACAAATGTACAGAACAAAGTGAAACAAGAAAACAAATTCAGAAATGCATTTACTAAAAATTAGAGGTACTGGTATTGCAATGACAATTTTCCCAGCCTGTTTCTAAGAAATAAAGCTGATTTAAGAGGTCTAAGCTGTTAAAATGTATTTGGATTAAACTACCAAAGACCACATGTTAAAGGCTTGTTCCCCAGAGTGGCACTGTGGTAGATGGTGGGACCTTTAAGCGGTCAGGCCTACTGGAGGTCTTCCAGTCATCAGGGGCATGCCCTTGAAGGGCAGAGAGGAACCAGCTCCTCTTACTCTTGAGATGAGCTTTGTTCTACCATGTACTCCACACCACGACGCGCTGCCTTGCAACAGATCCACGTGACCATGGACTGAAACCTCCAAAACTGTGGCTCAAATAGATCTTTTCTCCTCACGAGTTGATTATCTCAGGTCTTCGTTCCAGTGTGAGAGAGCTAACTAACACATGGGCTCATGTTCTCTTTTTCTCTCTCTCTCTCTCTCTCACGCACACACACACACACACACACACACACACACAATTCCCCAAATACTTTGGAATTAAAACCAAAGACAGAAATCTGTTGTTTCAGAGAGCGTGAATCTGCTGCTTGGCAGAAAGCAATCAACACAGAGAGACTCACTCACCGGGGCTTTCTACTCGCTTATAGTGGTAGGGATTGATGCAGACTTCTTTCTGCTTGGAGCCAAAAGGGAACTCGCAGCATTCCAGTGGCTTCAGTTCATGGTGGCTCTGAAGATCAGGCCAGCGCCACACGCGGCAGTAAATGACGTGGGGCAGTCCCTTCCGGTGGGAGACCTGCAGCCTGCCGTCCAGAGAGCGGGGGATGGTGACACAGTTACTGGGCTGCCCGGGGCAGCTCAGGGCCTTCTCCAGCTCCTCCATGGCACCCTTCTTCTTCTTCAGTTTCTTCACCAGCGCGTCCACAGCCTTCTCTGCCCATTTTTCTTCTTCGTCACCCTGTTTCCACCCGAGAAGTCTCTTCACAGCTGGACTTGTGAAGGAAAACAAACTTGTCACATTCATAATGACGGTGCTAGTTATATACTCCTCGGATGTGGTGAAATAAAGGGGTCTCCTAATGTAAAAGGGCAGCAAAGGAGATCACAGTTTACATAGGATTCTCTGCAGCTTCTGAGTTTGCAGTCTTGACAAGTAGAAATCACTATTCTTGATGTTCTAGAACATAATCCAAAATCAGCACCTAGAAAAGAAAAAAAAGGGGAGGGGAAATGTTTAGAATCACACAATTTAATTACAATGTGACAGGTAACTATTTTAAGTACTGTTATGTACAGAAGGTCCCTGGCTTACAGTGGTTCAATTATACAAACTAGTATATGATGGGTTTACTGGGACCTAGCCCCATCCTAAGTCACGGAGCATCTGTATCAGTTTGCCAAGGACTGAACTGTGGTCCCCCAAAATTCACATATTAAAGCTCTAGCCCCTGGTGTGATTTTATCTGGACATGAGCCTTTAAGGAAGAATTTAAGGGCAAATCAGGTCATAAGGGTGAAGCCTTAATCCAATAGGACTGATTGCCTTAGAAGAGGAAGAAAGAGATCCCCAACACCTGCGCCCAAGAATGATGGAAAGACTGAAAGACCATGTGAGCAAACAGCAAGAAGGTAGCCATCTGCGAGCCAGGCAGAGAACTCTGACCAGAAAACTATCCAGAACCTTGATCCTGGACTTTCCAGACTCTAGAATTGTGAGAAAATAAACTTCTGTTGTTTAAACTGCCCAGTGTAAGGTACATCGTCCAGAGAGGAATAATATACAGTATTTGTCCTTTTAACAATCCTTTGAGTTAGGTAATACAATTACTGCCATTTTATGGATGAGTAAACTGAGATAGTTTAGAACAGTAGTATGTCAATTCTTTATCAAGCATTGGGATAGAAACAAATAGCACCTTAGTGTAAATAAGTTCAAATTTTCAACTTATGTTGTGATGTTTTTATCAAGATTCATTAATAACCTCTAAAAATATATTTTAAGATATACCTCCATCAGCAAAAACTAAAATCAATAGAAAACAGCAAAAAAATATTTGTCTTAATACCTCTGATTTATTTATTAATTATACTAAAAGAGAAGGCAGTTACACTTCTGCTACATAAACTTAACCTTTTAGGCTATTTTTTGGTAAACAAGCCTCTGTCTACGGGCAATAGGGCAAGCAAGGTAGGAAATTATTCCTTGCTTTAAAATTCTTTTCACTGACATGAAAAGAATGAAACACAAGCAGACATACTTGTGCCAAAGTCTTTAGTCAAACTGTCTCATTAAACTTTCCATCTACTCTATACCAGATGAAAACAGGAAAGAAAGGTTAAGAGACTCAATTTGGCTAAGATGGAACAGCAGCTAATAACATACCAACCTTCTCCCCAAAAATTACCACATCAGAAAACCAAAAGTCCAGCTTTTTAAAGGCATCAGAGAGCAACTAAGAAAAAAACAAAAATTAAAAAAAAAAAAAAAGAAAGAATTAAAGAGTTAAGATCCTGGAGAGAAGGTATAAACAACGAAACGAGCTGAACACCTACACTACTTTTCCTCTCCAGGCATTCTAGTAGGGAAGCAGGAAGCAGCTATGAAGAAGCTAAAAAGGCTAAGCAAAGCCACACTAGCCCAGCAGTGCTGAAAAGATACCAAAAACCTGGAGACGAGTCCACCAAGAAAGAGGAGCCCTGGTGAATACTCTGCCTCCAGCAGTCTTCTGCAGGTGTAGGCTCAGTTCAAAGCCAAAACTGGAAGGGAGCAGTCTTTACAGCACTGAAAGTCCAGATCATCCCCATCCCAGACTGGGTCAAGGTGATGGACACCACCCTCTTGCAGCCTGCCAAAAGAAATGCAATATACCCTCCCAAGGGAGAGAACATCATCTTTAGCCTCAATAAGGTTTATTCATAATGAGGCAGGACCAAATGATCCACTGAATCAGAATTGCTTTCTCATAGTTTATATTAGAAAGATGTCCAATATACTAAAGAAAACCAAAACAAAACAGATTAGAACTTGACCTAAGAGGTCAACAAATTCCAGATAATAAAATACAGGCTTAAAATATTAATAAATACTGACTGATATGCCAAGGAACTAGAAGAGTGAGGATTTTAACAGAGAACTGGAACTTATTAAAAATTCTAGAACTGAAAAATAACCAATGAAGACATTAAATAGACTTAACATAAGATTAATTACTGAAGAAAAAAGAATTAGTGATCTGAGAGATCAGTAAAAAAATGTCTTGAGTTTTAAGAGGGGAAAATAAGAAAATAAAGAGACATAATGGATACATTAAAAAGGTCTAGAACTCCAAGGATTTTCCAAAATCCACAGCCGACTCTAGCCACAGATTCATGAAACAAAAAATACAAAAAAGTCCCCAAGTTTCAATGTGTCATATCACAGTAAAATATCTAAAAATTTAAGAAAGAACTCTTTCAAAAGACATTCACATTTCAAATAAGGTTGACAGCTGTCATTTCAATGGAAACAAGACAATGAAATGACACCTTTAGTATGCCAAATATAAATAAGTAGTAGGTAACTTAGATTCTACATTTGGAGAAAAAAAAATTAAAAATTATTATGAAATCAAGGTAGTCTCCAACGAACAAATTCTGAGAAAACTGGCTTCTAGCAGACTGAATCTAGAAGAAAAAGAAATTCTTTGGGAAAAAGGAAAAACAATACAGAGAGAAGGAAGGAACTACCAAAAAGAATGAGGAACTCCAGAAAGGTAAATAAAGGTAAGTCTAAAAGGCATACTGATTTTATAAAACAATAATATAAATATCTTCTGTCATTTAAAATATATGTAGAATTAAAATGCAAAAAAGCAAAAGAAACAAAAAAAGCAAAAATGAGTAAGTTGTGTCCTAAGCTTCTTGGAGTCTCTAGGCCATGGTAAAGCACTGTTTATTACTGCCATTAAAAATTATATCAATTGAACGCAGTGGCACCTTTTGAGATTTGTGTGGTTTCTTCGCAAGTAGATTCTGGCCTACATATTTGGTACCACGTCTAAGCAACCTGCAGCTGGCTTTGACCTTGGCACCACCTGTTTTTGTGTGAGTGTCTTCCAGCACGGAAAAGTGGAGATACTGTCAATCATCAGGGGAGCCAAACTACCCCAAGCTGTGTCGCCTTCACTGACCCAGAAGGATTGGTCAGTGATGCTGCAAAGAATCAGGTTGTAATGAACCCCATCAATATGGTTTTTGATGCCAAACGTCTGGTAGGATGGAGATCTGACGATGCTGTTGTCCATTCTAATATGAAGCACTGGCCCTTTATGGTGGTGAATGATGTAGGCAGGCCCAAAGTCCAAGCAGAACACCAGGGAGAGAAAAAGAGTTTCTATCCAGAGCAGGTGTCTTCTGTGTTCTGACAAAAGTGAAGGAAACTGCAGAGGCCTACTTCGGGAAGACTGTTACCAGTGCTGTGATCACAGTGCCAGCTCACTTCAATGACTCTCAGTGTCAGGTGACCAAAGATGCTGGAACCGTCACCAGTCTAGTGTATTTAGGGTAATCAATGAGGTAATTGCCGCTGCTATTGCTCATGGTTTAGACAAAAAGGTTGGAGCTCTTTTTATTTAGAAGGTGATACTTTCCATGTGTCAATCCTCACGATTGAGGATGGAATCTTTGAGGTCAAATCACAGCTGGTGACATACTTAAGTGGAGAAGACTTTGACAACCACATGGTCAATCATTTTAGTGCTGAGTTCAAGGGCAAGCATAAGAAGGACATCAGTAAGAACAAAAGAGCTGTCCAAAGTCTCTGTACAGCAAGTGAAAGAGCTAAGCACAGCCTCTCTTCCAGCACTGAGGCCAGTACCGAGATGAATTCTAAGAAGGAATCGGCTCTATACCTCCATTAACCGTGCTCAATTTGAAGAGTTGAATGCTGACCTGATCCGCGGCAACCCTTGATCCTATAGAAAAAGGTCTTTAAGATGCTGAACTAGACAAGTCACAGATCCCTGATACTGTACTGTGGGTGATTCTACTCGTATCCCTAAGATTCACAAGTTTCCACAAGATTTCTTCAGTGGAAAAGAACTGAATAAGGGCATCAACCTTGATGAGGCTCTTGTTTATGGTGCAGCTGTCCAGGCAGCCATTTTACCTGGACACTACTCCTCTCTTTCCATTGAAACTGCTGGTGGAGCTACGACTGTCTTCATCAAGTGTAATACCCCCCTTCCTACAGGCAGACACGGCCCTTCATGACCTACCCTCAACACCAGGCTGGTGTGCTCATTCAGTCATGAAGGTGAGTGCGCCCGTACAAGGGATAACAACCTGCTTGGCAAGCTGAACTCACAGGCATACCTCCTGCACCCAGGATGTTCCTCTGATTGAAGTCACTTTTGACATTGATGCCAATGGCATCCCCAATGTCTCTGCCGTAGACAAGGGTACACAAAAAGAGAACAAGATTACCATCACTAACAACAAAGGCTGCTTGAGCAAGGAGGACATTGAGCACATGGTCCAGGAAGCTGCAAAGTACAAAGCTAAAGATGAAAAGCATAGGGACAAGGTGTCATCCAAGAATTCACTGGAGTCTATGCATTCAACATGAAAGCAACTGTTGGAGATGAGCGACTTCAAGGCAAGATAAATGGTGAGGACAAACAGAAGATTCTTGACAAATGTAATGAGATCATCAACAGGCTGGATAAGAATCCGACTGTAGAGAAGGGAGAACTTGAACATCAGCAGAAAGAACTGGAGAAGGCCTGCGACCCCAGCATTACCAAGCTGCACAGAGTACAGGAGGCAAGGCAGGGGGAATGCCAGAGGATTCCCTGGTGGTGCTCCCCCTGGGCTCACCGTGGAAGAGGTTGATTAAGTCAGCCCAAGGGCTGTACTTTGTTCCACAGTAAAACAGGGAAGGGCCCAAATTTGTAGCAAATGCTATGGCAGTTTTCAAATTGCTGCTATAGTAAATTAATGGGCATTCTCAATACTTGAATATGGAATATGTGTGTACTCGGGGAAAGGAAATAACATTAAACTTTATAAACACTGTATTGTAAGTGGAAAATGCAATGTCTTAAAAGTATTCAAATTTGGGGAAAAAAGTTACAAATTTGTGTCATAATACAGCAACAACTGAAAGAATAAGCTTAAAAGTATAAGCTAATAGTAGAAACAAAAATATGGAATTTAAAAAAAT